AAAAAAACCCCACAAATATTCCTGAAATAAGTTGGTTTTATCTTCTTGGGAAGAGCCTGAAAGGTTTAACACCCCAGCCTGTTCCCAACCCTGCTGAGAGGGTTTTTTGGCCATAATGAAGAGCTTGGAATTGGGATCATTCCTGGCATTGGGATCGTCCATCCAAGGGCATGTGGGCTGCAAACAGGGCTGCTGTTCCCTGGATGCAGCAGTTTTTGGGAGGCTTTTGCTATTTTAGTGGAATTTTTGGGGTGGAACTCACCTAAGAATCCAGAGCAGCTCCTGCTTTTCCTGGTTGTGATTTATTAACACTTTGTCCCACTCCATTTTAATGGAATTTTTGGGGTGGAACTCCCCCAGACTCCAGAGCAACTCCTGCTTTTCCTGGCTGTGTTATCCCTGTGTAATTCCCTCTTTTCCCATCCAGGTTCTATCCTAATTTATTAACCCTTTGTCCCATTCCATTTTAATGGAATTTTTGGGGTGGAACTCCCCCAGAATCCAGAGCAACTCCTGCTCCCTGTGTAATTCCCTCTCCTTCTCTTCCCATCCAGGCTCTATCCTAATTTATTAACACATTGTCCCATTCCATTTTAATGGAATTTTTGGGCTGGAACTCCCCCAGACTCCAGAGCAGCTCCTGCTTTTCCTGGCTGTGCTATCCCTGTGTAATTCCCTCTCCCTCTCTTCCCATCTAGACTCCATAGTAATTTAATAACACTTTGTCCCTAAATCCCAAAATTCTGAAATGGATTTTTTGAGGTGGAACTCACCCAAAATCCAGAGCAACTCCACAGCCAGATCCTGCTTTTCCTGGCTGTGATTTCTCAACCCTTTGTCCCTCTCCTCAAATGGAATTTTTGGGCTGGAACTCCCCCTGAATCCAGAGCAGCTCCTGGTTTTCCTGGCTGTGCTATCCCAGTGTAATTCCCTCTTTTCCCATCCAGGCTCTATCCTAATTTATTAACACTTTGTCCCATTCTATTTTAATGGAATTTTTGGGCTGGAACTCCCCCAGACTCCAAAGCAGCTCCTGTTTTTCCTGGCTGTGTTATCCCTGTGTAATTCCCTCTTTTCCCATCCAGGCTCTACAGTAATTTATTAACAC